GCACAACTTTACACAACGTCGTGCAACCTTACACAACTTTACACATTGTTGAGACGTGTCATAGGAGCAAATAGAACTGACAAGTGTTGCTTAAATAAATACTATATCAGCAAAAAAAGATTAAAAATATATAAAGGGTGTTAACCGAAGTTCGTCAAATTTCAGAAAATATTATTATTAATACAAAGATCGAACACTCAGAAAAAAATCCTTTGATCCGGCCGGATTCGAACCGACTTCTTATAGCATACCGTGCCAGATGCTATACCAACTAAGCCACGGAATGAACCAGCGGACTTCAAAAATTTTTCTATGTGTTTTGTTTTTCCACGACTTTTTAGCCGTAGCGCCATCTATGAGAAATCTTAAATATCGAGTTCTTAGGTTTTCGCGATTGTTACACATAGGAAATGAAAGTATTTTTTCGGATTTAAATCGCGTATATTTGTTTTTTCAAACAAACCGACGTTTCGGGCCCTTTACAGGTCCCATGGACACGGTTGTTGAATCTTAAATATTTCGTCACCTTTACAGCTACCAGCTCTAGCTAGAGATGTCGCTATTCATTGTATTTAAATTTATATTGAATTGATATTCAATTATTTTTTATGTGAAATTACTCAACTAAATATATCATAAAATATTGTTCATACAAAATGAATAAAATTGACTAATTGTTGTTTAATGCTGATAGACTCAGTTTCTTATAAGTATGATTTTATTGTATGGAAAAAAAAAAAAAGTTTTTTCATACGTTTCGGATTTTCCCCATACTGTCCCATTTAAAAACAAAACACTCTGTATATGTAAATAGGTCCTCTTGGGCCTTTCCTTCCTTTTTCATTTCTTAGTTCTAATAAATTTATGTGGACCGAGTCCTTCTTTTACTTGCGCTAAGGCGAGGCTATAAACTTTTCTTCTATATTGCCTCGGAGCTGGATGTTTTTGATACCGACTTTGTTTTTCGATTTACACAACACCAGTGATTTAGTTACTCACGTTAGAATCGAAGCAGCGTGTGTGATGTTGTCTAATATTTATTTACCTACTCTAATTGCCGGCACTTGAATATTATTTTGCATTATTTCCTTTCAGGAGTGCTATATTTTGGATCTCGGCAAGACAGGTGTATACGTGTGGGTTGGCAGAAAGTCAAACCAAAAGGTGAGTAAAGAGTTATATATCATAAAATTCCCTGTTTGCGGACTTGTTCGCCGAACGCTGTAACTTGGGCCTTTTGAAAGCGAGAGTGAATAGTTACTATTTAAGTGTGCATGCTGTATCGTCGACCCCGTCGTTGCTTTCCACCAGGTGAGTAAAAAGTTGGGCACTGGTCTTCTTCACGAGAAGGTTCGGGCTACTTGTGAGCCTTCTTCCACCAGCAAGTTGCACCACGATATTTTTCTTCACATATTTGAATACCGCACATACCGATCACTTTCTAAAATAGTGACCTATCTATTTTAACTGCCTCCGTGGCCGCAGAGGTTCGATTCCCGGGCCGGAAGAAATATTTGTATGATCTACATTTATTTCTCTCATGAGTTTGGGTGTAATTTGCGGTTGTCTATGTGTGTGTCCATGGCACCCGCGACACAGGGTTTCCCTAATGCGGGACTATGTTGAGTGTGTGCGTTATTATTATTATTATTATATTTCATCAGGAAGACGGTTAAAAAAATAGAGACGTATCTTCCACTCAAAATTGATAAATTGTAGACCGTGTCAACGTTGTCATGTGATTATTTTAACCAAAGACCGGCCCTGTATCCCATTCACAACCAAATTTAGCATTTTCTGAACAAATCTTAGTAATAAGTCAAAAGAGGAACTAATTTTGGTTTAGGCCGCTATTCTTAAGAAACAGTGATATTTGCAAACAAAAAATGTTGTAATAAGCTATATTTATTTGAAATAAGAACCTACTTAATCCTATTGCGACATGAAAAATTTGGTTTATTGATTAATCGAATTTAATTGATTGATTAATTGAATTCATAGGAATAGAAACTATTTTTCGGATCTAAATCGCGTACATTTGGTTTTTCAAACAAACCAACGTTTCGAGCCATTTACACGTCTACTGGTAACAGCTCACTATCGAGTGCCTGTTGGTTTGTTTGAAAAAACAAATAACGAGATTTAGATTGGAAAAATTGTTTCATTTCCTGTATGTAACAATAATTTAATTCAATTAATTGATTAATTGAAGTTAATAGATTGATTAATTGAATTTAATTGACTGATTAATTGAAGTTAAATGATTGATTAATTGGTGTTAATGGATTGATTAATTGAAGTTAATTGATTGATTAATTGAAGTTAATTGATTGATTAATGTGAGTTAATTGATTGATTAATTGAAATTAATTGATTGATTAATTGAAGTTGATATATTATGTTGTCAGGAAAGAGGCGAAGCCCTGAAACGTGCACAACAATATTTGAAAGAAAGAAATATTCCAGAATGGGTAAGTTTCGTATTATATGTACAATAGAATCCTTAACAACAAAGACTTATTTGTCGAATATATTTTCTATGTACACTTATGTATGTAACACAGTTTGATTCCCAGCTTCTGATACAAGCAATAATTAAAAGTAAGTGAGTAAGTAGGTAGGCACATTCATTGCGAGCTTCATTGCGACTGCAAAATTGTAGACCGATTTGCAACTTCACTTTGACTGCAAAATATCAGACTAATTGGCGACTGCATTACTACTCCAAAACAACAGTGGACGGGTATTGAAGTTGCGATGTTGCAAACTGCATTCAGACTCCACTACAAATGCTATTTTGCATTTAAAATGAGCTCTTGTACCTACGTATTTAATCAAAGGCGAACAAGTTACCATTAAAGCCTAATAATGGCTCTAGTATCGACTTTTGACGCCAATCTTCGCACAGTCAGTATAAAACATTAGTTCTTCAAAATATAGCAACATGGCGGGAGACAGAGCTATAACTTGTTGGCTTTCAAATTGAAGTAGACTTGCATATCGATGCCTTACTTTCTCAAACTCCTATCTTATCCGCTCACGCGATTCATGCAGCCGTAGACGCATACCACACCTAGAGGTGCCAGTGATGATTTTATACCGATTTATCGGATATCGAAGTTATAACAGGTAAAAGAACTAATATTAATTGCTATTTCGGTAACTACTCTAGCAAACCATAAAGTTTTTAATGCCTGGGTCTGTCATTTCAAAAAATAAACAACTTCAAAAATACGTCACGACAATCGTGTGTGTTATTGTTTGAGCTGGTGATTTCGGTGTTTATTTATTGAAAACATACCGTAAGTAGCGTTTTTTAAGTTTACACTGAATATAAATGTTTATAAACTATACTTTAAGGAGTAATTTTATGGTAACCGTTAGAACCACTCAAACGGAATATTATCATATTTATCCAAGTACACCAAAAATTTCATTAGTGCTTTTTAAGTGCAGGATTTGCGGTGTATTACTGCATTTTATTTGAAATGTTTTTGTTAGTAGTACGGAGGGTATTTATTTAGCAATGCAGAATAATAATTTTTATTTATAAAAACTTGTATTTAAACTAAATGCTTTTCTAATTTGCGAAACCAAATAGCCGCCATTTTGCGGTAGGAGGAGCGCATCGCGTGAGCGGATAAAACGAGTGATTATTTAGTAGATGGCAAAACTTTCTATTTATTTTAAATTTCTTATCAAGGGTGTTTAATTTGGATGCATTACTTTAAGAATAGGCAAAAGCCAGTGTGTGAATATGAAGTAAATGTGATCCATTTTTTGCATTCCAGTAACTTTGTACTTTAGGATACGAGTTTAAGAAAGTAAGGCGATGACATGGCGGTTTGTTTTTGTGCGTGCTGTCTTGCATGTACTTAAGGCCTTGTGCGGATGGTGTTAAACAGCGTCAAACACCGCTGTCCAGCGCCACTATACTCTGACCCAGAATCCAAGAGATTTTTGTAAACAAAGAAATGTCATGACAAATGACCTAGTGATAGGTCAGGGATGCGTAACAAGTTTTCACCAAGAATCAATGTTAGTAGTAATGGTGCGTGATTTTGCTTGTGCGGTAGTTAAAATATTAATTTAAGTCCTGATTTCTATAACCAAACTTTCACATTCAAAACTGATCGTATAAAACAAACAATAACATGGTTGAAAACTTAACCGAAACTGATAACAATAACAAAAACTTCAACAACTCACCTTTGCACACGCGCAGTGATAAACGACCACATTCGTAGGTATTAGGAAACTAACGAAAAGCGAACAAAAGTCTTTACTTTTCTAAAGTCTTTGTCTTTATAAATGCTGTCAAAACCAAACACAATGTTTCTAACTTCTGCCATTTACTCTTAAAATATTTTCTACCAATATTTCTTCGGCTTTTTATAACTTTGTCAAAAACGTTCACTTAGCAAAAAATAAATACGTCCAAACCGTTTAAATTTTCCATTCTATGGATTTTAGCTAAAAAATAAACCTCAATTTAATTTTTAGACAAATTGAGTAAAGTTTAATTTGGTAGGAATGATTTGTTTTGTTTTGTTTTGTTATTTGTAGTAACCCCTATGTTTACAAAAACTCTATTGAATTCTAGGTCAGAATATAGCGCAACATCTTCTGCCCTCGGAATGAAAAAAGGCATAAATAATATTTTTGACAGGAGTTGAACATGCTACCGCTATACCGTAGCTAACTTTGCCAACTAGTTAGCAGGTTGACGAATTTCTTCTGTATCTGTTATAGATTTTTTTATATTAGATTTTTTCGTAGCACTTTGTAGCTCTTACATTACACAAGGCCTTAAGTACGGTGTTTTTTTAATTTGCCTTACGTAAAATTTGGTTGCGCGGTTTATGATTTGGTAGCATGTGTGTGCGGGGGCTTAACACTAGTTTTTTAGGCCTGGCGGCATATATTCAGGGCCTCAAAGTCTTTCTTAAAACGACTGATATATTTTTTAAATTTTTTATAATATCAAGTGACACGTAAGTAAGCTACACGCCTGTCCATTACAGTTGCAGCAGTGCCACTCAGAAGCAATAATAGGTAGGCAATAAAATCTAAACGGTCATCTTTTTTAATGATCCCCCATCTAAACTCATTGTGATATACACCAAATCTCACTAAGCAAGTTTCGTGTGTTTGTTCACAACAAATTGTTAAATAAGTAGGTAGTATAAGTGGTTATGTGTTTTTTGTTTCTGTTTTCGTTTGTTTCTTTTTTACTGTTAAATGGTTAGACATTATTTATTTATTATTCTTTAATCTTAATATAGGTACTTTATTACGAGTTTTCAGTTATGGCATGAGGTGTTTACCAGTAATTAACTGTTGCACTCAGCCTTTAAACAATGTTATGTATTTCTCTAGCTGTAGTTTTAGTGTAAGCAGTTGTTGGTGAACCAATAAATTAAAAAAAAAAAAAAAAAAAACAATAATTAAACATTTAAATATGAAAAACACTATACAACCAGTGATGTGGTACCCCAATATCGGGTATCAATTATTAATTTAGTTCTCCAAACAAGAAACGGCTATATTGTAGGGGTATAAGCTTTACTTTCATTTCCTGTAACAAAAAATTATTTCGATAAACGGAATATTGAAAATTTATTAAAGTAAGATCTTCTGACAATGTGAAATACCACCACGGGTAATATTCTTAGTGCGGCTATCACTTTTGCGCTCCAAAACAGTATAATGAAGCATTTCTCTTGGATTTTAGAGAATTTGCACGAAAGAACGACACAACCATACCATACAAAGCAAAAATGGCGGACTGAGCTCAGATAGGTCTTTCGAGACAATACTGCCATCATTATCATAAGTAACGTAATCGTATTTTTAACGAAACTAAGTTATGGCCATATCTGGGATCAACGAAACACGATCTGCAATCCCATCTAATCGGTTTTTTATTATCTTCATTAGTTTCAGTTTTATTGTTAAATGAAATCAGCGTAGGTAATTGACTTTTTTTAGGTGACAATGAAGTTTTAGGTGTCAATATATCGAAAGTTCGGAAATGCGAATGTTTTAGTTACCTATGACAAGCAGGGCAGTTAGTTGGCACGCGTCTGACGCTAACTAACCATTTCTACTGTTTTTATTGTTCTGTGTTATCAACACACAACTGATGATTTAAATTTAGCAGACTTGGGGCCCTGAGCTTTAATTAGAGAATTGAATTTTAGAGGGAGGTGTTATCTACCCACTTCTCTTTATCTGATGTTCACGAAATAATTACTTTTGCTGGTTGTATGCCGCTGGGTTTTCTAATCATTTTGGAGGTAACGAAGTGTAATTTTTTTGTGTGTGTTCGGTTTTCATTTTAACCAATAACAAGGGCACTTAAAAGTAAGTAATTGTTTTTTGCACATTTATTAATCATACTTTGCACTGAATACAGGGTGTAAGTGAAATTAACCAGTATTTTTTTAAATTAACAACTATAATTCTTTTAAATTAAGATTGACTTCTATGGTCGAGTGGCTTCCACATCGGTTTACGTGGTGTCGCCATCTCTTAGGTCTCGGGTTCGATCCCCAGCCGCATCAATGTAGAAAAGCTATTATTTTATATTGTCTCGGGTCTGGGTATTTGTGGCATCGTCGTCAGAGCTTGTGATGTTTTCTAATATGATATAGTTAATAATTAGTTACGTTCTATTGCTTGAGTGTTGTGATAGCGTAATTGGGGGAAAGCTTGCCTCCTACGTAAAACGTCCTGGTTTGGATTACCGTTGGGGGATCAACTATTCAACACTGAATGTTATTCAAATTACGTACAATTTATTTTTCTATAATTATTAAACTAGCACATCAGAAATTAGGAAATTATTCTAATATCGGTTAGACGGTTCTAAAACATTTTAAGATTTTAGTTTCTCTATTTTTTTCTTTCTTTCATAATTAATTACATATATTTTATTTTTAAAGTTCAAAACATAGCAGTAGTTTAGTGCACCATAAGTTGAATTATTATTATCTATAAATAATACCTGTATATATTTTTGATCAAAAGTAGATAAAGTTACGCTAGTAGTTAAATTTAGAAAACTGGTTATTTTTTACACCCTGTATTGTTTTCCAGGTGCACGTGTCCAAAATTCCCGAAGGTCTGGAGCCCGTTGCGTTCAAACAACATTTCGAATCTTGGGCTTAGAGCTTCAAATATTTGAATTTATTTACGTACGGTAGGTTACAGCGAACAATAGCTGAGAATTGTACATAGCATAATAAACTTTATCTCTATTTTGTAACGTATGATACGGTAGCTGCAGGTGTTGCCGTACAAACAAAGCCAAACAGCCGAGATTGTGTAAAAATTCTCCAAAAGACGCGTAACCTGCTTTTCGGCTCGTATCGTTTGTACGTTAAATTGTGGACACAATGTTCATTATGCTATACAATATCGAAAAGTGACTGAATGAATATTATATTATAGAGGGTGATTTGTAAAACAGTAACAACCTCGCAGGACTATATTACTAACATCCTGAACAATAACTTTCATCCCATGACTTTTAATCGTTTATCACATTTCGTATAAAAATAAAAGAAAAATTATAAAAACGTGCGCTATTTATGTTCTGTTCCATCCATTTTATAGATATTACGTGTATAATATGAAATATGTATTTACCTAAGTTTGTAGTAATTTAGTATATTTGCTATTTGTTGTATTATATTATTACGTATCGAGTTCTTCTCTTTGGTTTTCGCGATTGTTATACATAGGAAGTGAAACTATTTTTCCGGATTTACATCGCGTATATTTGTTTCTTCAAAAAACACCTACGTTTCGGGCTCTTTACAGGTCCCATAGTCACGGTTGCTCAGGTGGTACAGTCGTCAACCAGTTATGTCTAATATTAATGCAAACCACCCTATTTTTTCACTATAGTTACAAAAGTTATTAATTAAATACCTTATTTTTAATTTTACAAAGGAACGTTCCAAGTTACGCTTATTACATTTTACAAATTATTTTATTAAATGAATTTTTATTAAGTTAAATTTATTATTAATTAATAATAGAAATTAGAGTAAATTAAAACATATTAATTATTACTGCAGTCTTATGTCTGTTTGGGATTTTTCATCAGAGGAAATACTGGATCCCAAACTGGTGGTACGGAGAAACCATGTTCCCTGTTGAAATTAGGATTTAGAAACGTTGGTATGTTTGAAAAAACAAACATACGTGACTTGAATCCGGAAAAATAGTTTCATTATCTATATTATTAAATAATTTAATTGTGATTTTGTTGTGATGGAAACCCGTTATTCTAATTATTGTGTCAAGCATTTTGGAATGCAAAAAGAAATTTCTTTTGAAAATTCGACCAAACGTTATTTCTGGAAAATGTAATTTCTAACTACTGATAGGTAACCGGTAGGCGTTGCTAAAAACATGGATCTAAAATGTGTCAGATAAAACAAAAACTTCGAAAGTAAAAGTCATGGAACAAATGTTGTTTATGGTGTAGGTAATATAGCCCAGCGAAATTGTTAGATTTTCCAAACCACCCTGTATAAGCGAGTATACATCGGAGTGTAATCTTCCGTACATTGCTGCGCAAATTTTTACCTTAACTACATACTTCCATCAACTTATTAGTGATATGATAAAACCAATTTTGATCAGAGAGCCAGAAGAAATGCATAAATATTTTTCATGGCTTGTTCCCATCAAGGTAGGCTTCTGCCTGAGGGAGGTCTCTACCTCAGTCACTCGTTACGGTCCTAACAGATATTTTTTATCTCATCGACATGCATCTGTGCTTTTATACGATCGGTTAAGAGAACTCCTGACATAGCCTTCTTTAGAACGTCGACAATTTGGTCGTGGCAAGTTACCCTTTTAGCAATGTGTTCAAATTCGCCTTAAATGGTGCAAATGACCAGAATGGCCTTTGAGTGAGAAATTGTGCCGTGGTCCTCGAGAACAGGTTATTCCCATCTGATCCCCAAAATTGATCCATCGCCAATTTTAAATGTAACTCATCCTCTCTATATTTTGCAACTTCCAAAGGATTGTATTTGTAAGGTAAGTACAGTCAAGAGAAAAAGAAGAATTAAAATCAAATATTCATTTATTGAGCAATTGTGATCAAATGTTGTAATTGTCACAGACAATCAAATTTTTTTGTGACGGGTCGAGACCGGAATATTAATATTGACATATTGTAATTCACAAGTAACAAAAAATGAGCCTTGCGTTGTATTTAAATTCTAAGTTTAATGTTTATAATTATCACAGACAATGATATTTATATTTTGTTGATGAGATACATTTTCTTAAGAACTGTCTGTGTCACAAACTACCAAAAATATTTATTTAATATTTATTCTGGATCCCCTGCATTGGGGATCCGATGGGACAAGAAAATAATTTAAAATAAAAGTGATCCCAAAGGGAATCGGTCTTAGGGGATCGGTCTTACGGGATCGCATGGGAATAAGCTCTCGAGAACCAAGGGTTTTCCCCGCACTTGATAAGACATTCTGTCTCGCGGTTCTCATCTGCTCTGACAGAGGACCCGCACCTTCAATGCTTCTCTGGATATTGTGTGAGACTACAATGTCTACACAAGTCGTATAGATGTCTGCTCAGTTTCAATGACCTTGGTGGCCCAACGGTTTATACTGGATGAGAAGGTCTCGGGTTCGATTCCTGGTAGAACCAAATTCGGAAATTAACATTTATAAATTGGTACCGGTCTGGTTGTTCTGGGAAGTGACCCAGAGTGAACTCCATTGCTTTGGTACTCATAGTATAGGGAGATACTTAGTTTTGAGACCAGGCAATAGATGTGTTTGATTATTATTATTATTAATGGACCGACGGTGATACCATCAGGACACAATTCATATCACAGATGAATGATGACTGACTGTATTGAAACTAATTTACAAATCTCGAAATATTGCTTTTCTTTTCACTCTGTATTAATTTAAAATAGACAGCAATATCTTTTAGAATTGGCAAATTAGTTAAATAAGTGTCAATGTCACAAAGGCGACAGTTATTTTTAATATTTTGTAATCTCATTTTTTATACAAACTGTAAATTAAAATATAAAGATAATACTGTTTTTTTTTTTGCTTCCTGTTCTTGTGTCTGTAATAATTTAGAGCATTTCGATGGAGGTATCCATTGAACACTAACGCCAGCTTTATTTCTGGTCCTGTTTTGTTTCTAATTTTGTGTTATAATTTTTTCTCACAAAATTAGTTTCTTTTTTCGAATTTTGTTTTTTGTTTAATTATTTTTTTTTCAAAAATTTAAGGGGCGTAATATTAGTAAATAAATATGGTTGTTTACAAAAATAACAGACAAAAACCAATAAATAAGGTGGAGGTATCGATTTCGATTCGATAAAGAAGACCTCCGTGTCAGTTCCTAATCCGAGAAATGACGATCCCAAGTAGTCGCAGCAGGTACTACTTATATGTGAAGTTGCACACTAAAACCAAATTCTGTCTTCCGAAGTCGAGAATACCATCAATTCGATTGAAGTAACTGCGGGATCATTTGTATTAACTCAGTCCAAAAGCGGTGGTGACGGCAGCGTGGAGGGATGGAGTGAATCAGCCAGTATCGGATGCATATATATCATTGTGTGAAATTGACAATGGACACACCCATTTGGTAATAAATAAACATCGAGTAGACCAGAAATAGAGACGAGATAAGGGCCATCCATCCCTCATCAGGCAAATACGCCTTATATCACTTTTAAATAGCAACTCTCGTTTGCGCTGAAATCACAAATTAGAAAGCTGTAATAGTACAGCGCCAACAACTAACCTGTGTGTACGTCTCCGTATATTCCAAAAATATTTTGCATTAATGTAATGTAATAAAGATAATATATCTACATAGATAATATATATATACAGTGGTATAGGAAATCATCAAAACACCTAATTAGAAAACAAATGGAATCAATTTTCATCGGTAATTAAATATTGAATAAGTAATTTTTCAATTTAGGTCCATTATAGCAAAGCTCAAGTTAAACCGGTCGTCGATTCGGGCTGGCCAATCGGAATCTATTTCTGGTTATAATATGCTCGATGTCATCAAGTATATAACCAGAAATAGAGACGAAATGTCATTTAATTTGTTTGAAAACTATTCTGCCATATCATGACTGTGACAACTGCGCTCCGATTGGCCAGGCCGAGTTCGAAACAATTGACGGGTGTCGTCAATTGTTTCACTTCAAATGACTAGTTAACTTGAGCTTTGCTATAATGGACGAAAATTGCAAAATTACATATTTTATATTTAATTATCGATGAAATTTGATTCCGTTTGTTTTGTAATTAGATGTTTTGCTGTTTTCCCCACACACCGAATAAAACAGCACGCCTTTGTTAGAAGAAATCTTTATTATAATAAATCCGAGACGTACACATAGGTCAGTTGTTGGCGGTGTCTATATTTCAGTGCAAACGAGAGTTGATATTTATAACTGAGTATCAGTGATGAGTTACCAGGAACGTATGAGCCTTATTTCGTCTCTATTTCTGGTTATATACTCGGTGTACTACGTAAATCTGTTCTCATTACAATAGTAACACTGTTGTAACCTTGATCAGCAATTATAGAATACGCAACCTGGACAGTGCAGACTACCCAACTTCTCAACAATGAGTAGGTAAGTACTTACAGTAGAACCTCCGTGTTTCGGCTCATTTAACTGACATCAAAAAAGGAGGAGTTTCTCAAATTTTTTTTCTTTTATTTTGTGTAAGTTATGCGATTAGTTCGGCTCCCATTTGTGAACCGATTTTGATGATTCTTTTTTTGTTGGAAAGGGGTTACCTGAGTATTGGTCCTATTTAAATTTGAATATTCCACCTCTAATGGCAAACTAGGAGAAGAATCCGGTGTCGCGCACTTTCGGTAACCGATCTTAATACAACTTGGCAAATAGATGTAATTTCAGGAACTTTTGAGGTCGGTTTTTTTGAAGTTACAATTATATTATTAACACAAAGTTAACGAATGAACACTTGGAAAAAATTCCTCCGATCCGGCCGGATTCAAATCGACGTCTTCTAGCACACCGTACCAGACGCTATACCAACTAAGCCACGGAACGAACCAGCGGATCTCATGATTTTCTTCTATGTGCTTCTTGTCGGACCTTTGTATCTGGTTTTTAACGACTTTTTACCCATAGCGCCTTCTATGAGAAATCTATGAAAGTATTTCATCACCCCGTTAGGTACCTTTACAATTACCAACCCTGGCTATAAAAAGAACACTTAATAATAATAATAATAAAAATACGAATAACTATTGAGTAATACGAATATTTAGTGGAAGCTGCAGAATCTAGAACACCATCATAAAGTTGCCTGTTTTTCGGAATTCTACAGGATATATCACGGAGAGTGTTTCATCATCGGGGGACTAGACGTGAGCCTCGGGCTCCACCCCTAAGTTGTGGATGTACCCAGGATTCGCTCGAAGCGTTTTTCCACATTTATATTTCGAGCGGCTAGGGAGTGGAATTCCCTGCCTGCAGATGTATATCCTGAACGCTATAACTTGATCCTCTGCAAGGCGAGAGTGAATAGGCAATAATTAATGTATGCATGCTACTTCGTCGATCTCATAGTCACTTTCCATCATTCCTTATCGTCAAATGCGCAATTATTATTAATGTATTGTTACTTTTATAATTATTATGGTAAGTATTACTGTATAACGTAAAATCCTACCATAAATACCTGCATTGCTTCTCAAATTTTTATGCCGAGAAACAATTTATTC